TACTCCGTGATCGGCAGCTTGATTTGTAATGTGGATCTCCAAGTCGTTTGTGTAGACGACCATGGGAAGCATAGCGATAAAGAGCCGCTTGCATATTAATAACAGATTCTGGAACACAACCAAAGATGAGTAAATCGTAGAGTAGCAGCCACCCTAGGAGTAACGAACAAAAACGTAACACAGGATTTCTAGGTTTCGCCTGTTTAAGTCTTCCAGCTCAAGCGATTACTAATCCCTCACCGTCACAGGAACACTGTCCCGTCAACCCGAATTAAACTCCAACAGTCTACCGCATCCCAATGAAGGGACAGTCTGACTGATTATCAAATATCTCACTACAAAACTCCATGAAACAGGAAACCAGAACACAACAGTGCGCAACCGAACAGAACCTGCCTACGGCCTAATGTTCACACAAAAAAGTCCAGCCTACGCAGTTAAAACTGAGCAAAACAGTTCGGCCAGCTTAGACGGAGTCGGAAATCCCAACCGTAGACTGTAACGATTAGGAGTTAAAACGCGTTGAAAGGGTGAGCTCAACTTGTTTCAGTCACAGCTACAGGGTTTCGGCCAACACAACTGTTCAGTCTCCCAAGATAAAAGAAGAAAACTTTCACATCGCATAGACATTCAGTGCAGTGAAGTGAAGTGTGAGCTGTAGCCGTTTCCACTCTCATACCAGGGCGAGAAACTGAGACGCACAAATTAAGTGAAACGTTCGCGACGAAAACGATGACGATCACCACTGCCACGCATTACCTCTCGGTAAGAAAGGGCCCGACGGAAGTTAGTCACTCCACAGTGGGTAACACTGTGATATGAACTTAATGACGCGAAAAATCACCATAAAACGAGCATACTGACGCCGTTGCAGGTAAGTAACATGGCCAGGGTATCCACAAAGTTATTATTATTATTGTTAACATAAGAACCGCGTACTTGTCGTACAGTGGTCGTAGCTGCTACAATTTCGTTCACTGTTGATATGGGGGGTGTGTTAAGTAGCTACCAGTCGACCGACTTCCTCAAAGGGTTCTTTCTGCGAAGGGTAGAAACCAGCCAGGGGAAGTCAAACAATGACTTGGCAGAGAAGTATGAAAGCCATTACCAACAAGTTCAGCTGAGCTAGTCAATGCCATCTCACTGGATGGGGACCCCGAGACGGGCCACATCAATGGTTAGAGATATTGTCAGACATGGCCCAGTGGTGCCCTCAATTCAACGCGTAGCTCCCTTTCAAATGCTCCCATTCAAAAGTCCACTGACAGACCTTTATTTAAGCACCACTTTATCCACAAAGTAACGTCAATGTGTTTTATGATACACTTGTGCTGCAGGTCAGCAGCGGCGAGATGGCGCAAGTGGTTAGAGCGCGAATTTACTGACCGAAAGGTCCGTGATTCGAACCTGACCTCTGCCTCTCGACTTCCCTTGTCCCGGCTCTCGTGAAACCTTCTGGTGGCATGGCAGTTAGGTACCGAAAGGGTACTACAGCTCAACGGCTGTGGAATGTCAGGAATAGCCGGACAAACACATATACACCACGCTTCGACGTTCCAACGAGCAAGAGGAAACAGAACCGACAAGCAACGAACGGAGAGTACACACACTGTAACCGATTTGCCGGTTGGCTGCCTGACTAGCCGCAATAAATAGCTGAGATGACAGTCGTTGCAATATTATAAATGCATATAACGTGCTGAAGAAACCACATTCCGATTAGACTTGGTGATAGTACAGCTGTTCAACTTCACAGCGAACCATCTTCATCGAGTACATTGGTTACCGACGATTTTCCCTAAAGACGCGATCACTATTCCCCCAGATTCCCGCGACTATGATGAGGAGCTAGACAAACGATATCGAGGGGTGATAAACCATCTAACTTAGCTTGATTGTTTGTCCATTCTGTTTCATTTGAATCCACCATACATTGACTGTAAAGTTAAGTGAAATTTCACAACAGATTGTGATGAATACCAAGTTAAGTGGTCATCTGGTGACTATCGATTATCTGTCGTGTTTTTTTTTGTTTTCCGATGAAGCACCGATCGTATGTTGCGCAAAGTTACGACTCCCTGGCTGACCTAGTAAATATTGCCAGTATTGTGACATCCTCTCAGCAAGAGAGCGATCACTTCGCAAATTCGATTACTTTTTCTTGGATCTTATATTGAATGTGAAGACTGTGGAGAGAGAGAGTTACTCTGAAACCAGAGCAGAGACCACATTTTAAAGCGTATTTTGGCCGAAATCTACTCTAAGGAGACCAAAAATGATCACCCAGTCCGTTGATATGACCATAAATCTGCCTTACTAGACCAGTAGGTTGTTCTTGTCCCATGACAGCCAAATTTTCATTTCGCGTAAATATGTGGGCCATTTTGTGCGTATGAACTGCATGTGTCATAAGCCTGACACGAGGGCGGTCACATGATTGTACTTCATTCATCCCGAATTCAATCAAGGTTACTCGGTATCCCGTGGTTTTCTACCATGGAAGGATAAAGCTCGTTTTGAGGACCTTACGCTGGCAAGACCTGAGGAAGCCCTTTTTTGGAAGAATTACGTGGAAGTTGAATAAACATGGAGGTAAATGATGAGTTTTACAGGAAAACTGACTGCCTAATTTGGGTCCTATTTTGCAACATAATTTAGGTCACAGTGAAAAATCTCGTTAATTGAAGTGAATACGGCGCTAGGAACCAGTCTGCTTTAGTTTGTCATTCACTGTTTCTTCTTCCCAGGAGTTGTGTGACTGGTCGCCCGCAGATTTCCTCATCATGCAAAGGATATCACGTGTGGTAGGACGGTAAACACAAGCTTCTCGAAGTAATAAAATTGGCGTAGTGATTGGTTATCCTGTCTAATTCCTTAGTAGTCGAACGTTATCCCATAGCAGAATGACTGGTATTTACCTCGTAGTCGCGGATGCCGATGGACCCAGTACAAAAGGACTCGAGATAGCTCAGCGGTTAGGGCGCGAACTCACTGACCAGATGGTCCCTGGTACGGCACCAGCACCTCAGCTGCACCTATCTAGACTTGAGCAACCTCATAGTACCTCAGGCCTCGGGTGGGATGTTAGCCATGCACAGAAAGCGTGTTATAGCTGAACGATTTTTTTATTATTACGCCAATGGAATGTGCGACCATCGTAGCTGCTAACCCTTCTATGTGTTGAAATCATGCGTCTCGGTGAATTCGAATTCCGAAGATCCAAAAGTACGACTCAGAATAGAACTGTTTATAAATTACCATAGTTTCGGAACAATTCAAAAGTAATAAGAAGATTGGCATACATCAAACCGATCAGCCAAACGGTTGACAAAGCACGCGTAACACTGAAATATCAGCGGGTAGACAAAGCCATCGTAGCCGCGCGGTACGAAAATGGCTAATGTTCTCAAAGGAAACCGAAGGTGAGTAAAATGAAGAGTGAGGTGAATAAAATCGGATAATGATGCTTGGGATGTGGCGCGCATAAGTAGATGGGAATGAAGCAGCCAACACTTTCACACAAACTTAACCGAATCAGTCCAATTCGCAATCGGACTAAAATTTCAAACAGATGGTTATCAGTGTGTTGAGCAAGTAGTATGAAACAGAAGGTATCCCCGAATGAGCGTGGCTGGCCCAGATTGTCAACATCTTACTATTTTTTTTCACGCCTCAATGATAAAACTAATTGAACTGTGTTTATCCTGGAGACGAAAAATAACTGATGACCTGGAAGAAAATGGGGTTAATCACGCAGACCAC